CCAAGGCCCCGCCCAGCGTCCCTCCCCGGCCCCGCCCCCGGCTCCGCCTCGCGCCCCGACACCGCCAGCCGTCCCTTCCCGCGCGCACCTGCCCGGGAGCACCCAGGCTGGAGGCCGCGGTCAGGGCGACCCCTGCGGGCCGGCGGCGGGAGCCCGGCGTGCATTCCGTGCGCTCGCGCGGGAGTGAGGACGCGTTCTCGGCTGCCTGCAGGTACCTCAGCCCGCTCGGGCCAGCTGCGGTCTCCTCAGCCCGGCTCCCTGAGGAAAACGAGAGGACCAGCTCCTCCCCCCGGACATGCTTCCCTGCCCGCCCGCAGTGACACGGACCGTGGTACCTGAGGGAGCACCCCGGAGCCCAGGTAAGGCCACGGCGGCGCCCAGGGCTTCTGGGGACGGCGGGCGGCTGGGCCGGGCCGGGCCGGGGCGACCGCGCCTCAGGCGGACGCCTCCTGGAGCCGGCCTCCTGCCGCCGTGACAGGCGACATCCAGCCCCACCGGGCGCCTCAGCGGCAGCTCTCGTACATCCGTGTGACAGACGACAGCGGTGTCCTGACAGCTTCTGACATTCCCAGTAAAATGCCCAGCTTTACACACGACCCGTACTCCGCGCTGTGTTGTCAGCGAGCTCTTTACTACGAAGTGCTCTCCAAACCCGCTCGTTCGTTCATTCGTTCGTTCATTCGTTCATTCATTCGTTCATTCCTTCCTTCATCCGCTCAGGTAAACAAACTAAGACTGCCAGAAAAAGAGCAGAGAATAAGCGGGGAGGAAGTGGGCCAAACTATACAAAAAGTTTTGCCGGGACGGAAGCCCAGGGGTCTCCACACGGAAACGACCCGCCAGGAAAAGACCCGGATGAAGCCCGCGTGTGAGCGGCCCGGGCCGCTGAGGAGGACGAGGATCCCGGCTCTTCAGGTGGAATCAGACTGGACGCCTTTGGGTTTCTCAGCAATAACGTGTTCACGCTAAAGCACAATGAAGCCAAGTGTCTTCCGAGCTCTGGAGGACGGAAGCTTTTCGCCTAGAATCTTGTAGTCCAACTATCCATCCCCGGTACAGGCAGAATAAAGCCACTGTCACATCCACGAGGAGGCAGCTGACTACTTCCCGTCCATCCACCTTGCTTTTAAGAGAGCTCGGAGAAGATGCGCTCTCACCAAACCGGGGAGTCAGTCAAGAAAGACAAAGATGTGGGACCCCAGAATGTGAAGGGACACCCCAGGAGGACCCTCGGCTGTCACGATAGCTTTCGCCATTGTGCAGTTTTAATTAAAGTCACCTCGGTGTGCAGCGAAACTGTTTTCTAAACGTGCCTGTGAAGGTTAAACTGACACGTCTTTCTGAGAAAGGGCCGAAAAGTAAACCGGGGGGGGGGGACGGCCAGCTCGAGCACCCCCACTCGGCGCCAGAACGCGGGGGGCTTCATCTGAGCACCTCCTGGCCGCTGCAGGTTCCTCATGGCGAGCAGGCCCTTCCCGTTGGGTAGAGATTTCTGTTTTAGGAAGTCCTCCTGTTCTCCCTATTACCTGCTGCGTTACACCGAATAAGTCTAACTCTTCCGTGTCCCCAAATGAAGCGTTGTCGTGCGTTCAGCAAACACAAGTGGACCCCTCGGTCGGGCGCCACTGATCTCACAGACTCCCTACACACAAATGTTCACGCAGCTGACAGGTAAGTATCGTGACTCACCGTTTCCGGATCTCCCCCCTCTGCCGTAACCTATCGCCCGTTGTGTTTGTGACTTTAGTGCAGGAAAGACGGATTTCATATGTGAAAATGTGTGTGCGATGAGCGTGTGAGAGCAGCTGTGCCTGACAGAGGGTTAAGGTGGTAGCAGGGACTTCAAAGATGAGTACTTTGAGGTCATGGGTGTCATCTTTAGTCTTCAGCACCTTCATTTACTTCCAGTTGGTTTTCAGTCTCACAGGTTCTCCTGTGAATCTACTTTACTTCATCAGTATTCCACGACATCCAAGTAGATTGGAAAATTCCATGTGGAATTGGACAGGTGATAGGGCAGTGGCTGTGCCTGCCTCTGATCTGAGTCTACTAGTGCCCTGGACGACAGGATGCATTTTTCAAGCCCTCTTGTTAAACTGTTAATTAATTCAGGCTGAGCCTGTGGTCAACTAACACTGGAGATTTCTGTTAACTTGTTTCTTTTTAAATATAAGCTACCTTTAAACCAGGTTTTCTCTCCTGTACGTGTGCAGTTGATTCTTTTAGACCCAGTATTATGAGTTGAATTCTGTACCCCAAGAATTCTGGAGGCCTAACCCCCAGTACCTGTGAATGTAACCGTATTTGGAAACGGTCTTTGCAGCTGATCAAGTTAAGATGAGGTTATTCGGATGGGCCCAATCCACTATGACTGGTGTCCTTTAAGAAGGGAACATTTGGACACAGAGACGAACACACGTAAAGGGATGATATGATGAAGACACAGGGAGAAAGCCATCTACAAGCCAAGGAATGCCTGAGGCTACCGGGAGCTAGGAGAGAGGAATGGAACATCCCTCAAAGGAACCAACTCTTAACATCTTGATTTTGGACTGCTAGCCTCCAGAGCTGGGAGACACTACATTTCTGTGTTTTGAGCTACCAAGTTCGTGGTTCTTTGTTATGGCAGCCTCAGGAAACTAAAACACCCAAAACACAATTTTTAAAAGACTTTTTATTTGGAAATAATAATAGATAATAACAGGCAGTTGCAAAGATAATACAGAGAGGTCCCACGTATCCTTCACCCAGTTTCCCCAATGGTTACATCTTACATAATTGTAGAAACAATATCAAAACCAGCAATTTCACATTCATTCACTATGTCTGCATTGCTCTGTGTCATTTTGTTACAATCATAAATTCCTGAACTTCTGTCAAAATACAGAACTAGTCCTTCACTACAGAGATCGCCCTCACTCCATCCTTAACAGTCATCCCACGCCCATCCTACACCATCCCTGACCTCTGGCCACCACTAATCTGTTTTCCTATTCCTACTATCTATTTTTATAATTTTGTATTTTCAAGAATGTTGTGTTAGTGAAAGTGTGTGATTCTTTTTGGCTTTGTTTGCTCAGCAAAATGCCTTTGAGATCCACCCAAATTGTTTCTTGTATCAATACTAGATTCTTATTTATATTGCTGAATAGTGTTCCGTGGTATGGATGCACCAAAGTCATTTAACCACTCACCTATGGAGGGACATTTTAGTTGTTTCCAGGTTTTAGCTATTAGTAATAAAGCTGATGTGAACAATTGTGTGGACATACATTTCCATTTCTCTGAGAGAAATGCCCAGGAGTGTAATTGCTGGGTCGAATGGTATGGGCACGTTTAGTTTTTTTAAGAGACTGCCACACTGTTTTCCAGTCTGACTGTGTCGCTTTACATTCCCACCAGCAGTGTGTGAGAGGTTCCATCTTTCTGTGTCCTTATCAACATTTTGTATTGTCACTATGTGGCTATCTAGTGTGTCGCAGTATGTCACTTGTAAACCTAGTTCAGTTTTTTAACTTAGTCATACTAGATATCTTCATAGCTATATAGGTACATTCTTCTAGCCTTTTCTGATGCTCCTACATCTGCATTTTGCTGTGTTGGCTGTCTTTTCCAGGAAGCATAATATTTGGAAGAATACAGACATTACTTCAGTTCTTTGCTTTATCACATATGAACCGTGTGACTTTGGGCGGCCTTCTCTTCTCCCTCTGTGAAAGGATTGCTCTAACCAATGTTGTAAATATAAAATAAGATAATAATGTATGAATAGTGTTTAGTAGATGTCACATCCTCAGTAGATGCTACTTTCTTTTCCTTCTGTGTTTTCAACTCGTCAAAAATGTGGACCAGGACAAAACAAGTTCAGAATCTAGACATAACTACTAGAGACCTGCCTTCATTCATTAACCAGATAAATTAGTATCTAGAAAGTATTCTTCACTTAGATTGTAAAATGTCAGGAAAATTTTCCTTTACCTCTTAGGCAAATTCTCATTTTAATTGCTCATTGAAAGAGGTCATACTTTTAAGCCTTTAAAACAGGAAATATAAAGCATAAATCTGGTAGAAAACATGAAATTGGTATTAAAATTCTGACTCAGATCTTTTCACATCAGCATGATCTGCATTATGGGGCTCAAGAAACAGAATTCCTTCTGGGAAGGCCAAAGGATTTATCATTGTCATTTGTGATGATCAGCTGCTCAAGTCTTTGGAAATACCCCATGCAGGGGAAGCTGAGATTGGAATGGGTGGGGTAGGAATTCCTGTGCTATTCGATGGCATTAGGCCAAGGGACTTGGGGTTGGTGACATCATGCCCCAGTCCCCAGGCCTCCTGTTCTGTGAGGTGTCCTGAAAGATCTATCAACACAGGTAACAGTCGCAAAAAAGGAAAGTGTAGGATATTCTCAAAGCTCTGATTAGCTGACTACAATGCTAGGCAAAAGGCCAGAGGAATTCTACCCGCTGCTACCCTCCCCCATTTAACCTCAAACTGGAATGTTCTGGATCTAAGGCAGAGCTGGCTTGACTCTCACTTTTTCATAAGAAAATAACAATTACATTAAAGTGAAATTACACATTAGTCCCCTAATTATACATATGGTTTATTATGTAGAAGAAGATAGAGAAGATAATTCGCCTTAAAATCATCTCATGCATAAAGAAAGGAAGCTGGACAGTATCCAGGGCCTTCTATTTCATTGCAAAATATTTATTTGCATATTTATGTGCAAGAAACAGTTTCTTTTTTCTTATTTTCATGTAAATGTGATTTTTAATTGAAAAAAATACATGTACCAAATTGGCATGGTAAAACACTCAAGAATTATGAAAGCATATGTAAATGAAAAGGAAGCCTTCCTGATTCTCCAGATCTCCAGGCCACCTCCCCTAAGGCAGCAAATAAACTTAAGATGTTTTACGTGTCATAACACCAGGCACTGGCAATACAAGGATAACAAAACACACGTGGTCCCAGCTTGTAGTGATCTAAGGGAGCGAGAAACCTGAACATAACAACACAGCCGAGTGTGGTAAGTGTCCTGAAGGGAAGTCCAGGGCCCTCTCAGATCCTAGGGGAGAGAAGCATGCATGGTAATTTAAGGGAAGAGAAGAAAGGTACATTGTCCAGAGTCACAGTTTGTAAGTTATAGACAGGATTCCTGAACTAATCTGTTTGAATCAAAGCCCATGTCCTTTCCGGGAACTGCTTGCTGTTACCAGTGGGGTATTCCATTTTCAGTTTCAGTTTATATGATGTTTCAGGAGAGAAATTTAATAGCAAAGGGGAACTTCCCAGCTACAAAAAGACAGTGCTGGACAAAAAATTATTAATAATGGCTATTATGAATGGGTATTATTAATGGCTATTTCATGGGAAATCCCATTTTCCTTTGACATTTTGCTCGGCAGGTTTCCAAGAATGTGCAAACTATGTTGCTCGTAGCTCAGTCTGCATTTAAAACTTTCAGCCCCTGAATTTAGTAGACTACTTTGAGCAAAATGTACTACAGTATAGTAACTGTGTAAGGCAACACACACATAACACATGCATGTGCTTTTCTCCTTCTGCTTTAGGAAGTGGCTGTGTGAAAGGGGTTCTATGTGCACTGGTCTGTGTAGCACCCACAAAGTTGTGGAAGAAGGCAGAGTTGCCTGTGCCATCCAGGCCATGAGAGGACAGCCTGGGGTGGACACTGTGACCAAGTCAGGAGTCCAGCATCTGCCGCTGGCAGGCTTCCAGAGAACACACGTAGGTTTGTTGGGAAATTGGAACAAGGAGCTTCTTTGACTCAGCTTCATAAATGTAGAAAGGAAGGAAATGCCTGCCTGCCAGGGCAGCCTTGTCGCACACCTCCAGGGGCACTGTTCACATGGAGTACTGGTGAGAGGGCCTGTGGAGGCTGCAGTGTGGGCACCTACAGACCACTGACCCTCAGGATCGTTCTGAGAGGCTCAGTGATACAACACCTATAAAGGACTTCATGGTTATAAGCCTGTCAGTATATGTAAATAATAGCAGTAATAGTTGCTATTTTCCTGGCCAGCTCTGTTCTTTGAGCAAAACATTCTTATTTAGAAAGTCTGAGAAAGAGAAACGGAGCCCCTGTTAGCTAGGAGCTGGCCTGGCACTCACAGGGAATCAGTGAAGTTTTGTTGACCATAAACATGTTCAGAGAACACCAGCCTCCAACAAGACCACTTTGTGACTGTAATGGAGCAAGAAAAGTAAAAGGGCTGCATGATTGCAACTGAACAGACAGAAATAAGAAATGGTCCAAACCGAAGAAGGAGCGAACATCGCCCTTTCCTGGGGCTGTCCCGTGATCCCCCATGGAACATGTTTCTCTCCTCACAGTGGGTTAGTAAACCAGTTTTCTAGAACTGCAGATGTGCACCTTGTGGTCTGGCTGGAGGACAGTGACAGCGTCATGGAGCAGCTGTTACCAGCCAGGAGCCCTTACTCTCTGAATCTGTCAGGGCGCAGGCACCTCAGACTTCTCAGGGCTTGCCCGTGGTGCTGGTTCTGTGTCCACTGAGGAAGAGTCTGGCTGGCTGCAATCCCAGCCTTCCAGGCCTTGTCGATTATGGGGATGTGGACACAGGTACCGACAGTAATGACAGACAGCTAACTCCTACTTGATGCTGGCTACATGTCAGGCCCTCTTCCAAGCGATTTGCATCGAGCAGCTCATTTAATAACCAACACACTGCGCACTGCGTGCTGCTATCACTCCCACTTTGCAGATGCAGAAACTGAGGCACACAGGTGTTGTGACTTGTGTAAGGTCCCACAGGTAGTAAGTGGAGAGCCAGGACTTGAACCAAGTAAATGGGATTGGGCATTTCACAAAGTGGCTTAGACTCCTGAGAGATGGAGTGTGACTGATTTGCTACAGCTCAACACTTACATGAAGAGTTATTTTATACGTGAGCAAGGGTATCTTTTGTAGAAGTTCAGCCTAGCAATCTTAAAGTGTTGATGTTTCTCTTTAATAATAGTTTACTAAAATCTTTATATACATCATTTTTAGCCTTTAAAAATCTTTCTCGTTATAATAACAATGTCAACTTGGGATATAATTGACATTAACTGATCCATTCTGGCAGAAAAGAAAAATACGGGACTTTGGAATCAGATGGATGTGAGTTAGAAGTCTCCCTTTTCATTAATCAGCTCATAACATCGTTGTATTATGTAATCTCCACGAGCCTCATTTCCTTCATCTATTCAGTAGTAAAAATTTTTTAAGGGTATTATGAGAATTAAACAGAATTATTTGCATAAGGCTATACCCAATAAATATTACTTTTCTTTCTCTAAATAAAGTATTTGGGGCCTTGCCAATTCTAGTTTACGTGAGAATTACCAACTTTGTAAGATAATCCTCAAGGCTGATTTGTGAAATATTGGAAAGTGATTGGAAAATTATGTAGCCATGCTTCTGTTTCAAATGTGGTCTCCATGAAGCTCCATATCTGTTTCGCTTTCCAGTGCCCAGGACGATGAATTAATGTGAAAATGATCTACCGACTGTCACGTTAGGCCATGGGGGGATGTTGTGGTCAGCTGAAGGTTAAAAGCAATTCTTGGGTTAAAAACATGCAGGGTTATCTGGAGTGCTTGTTTCAAGTCTTTCTTATTTTTTCAAAGTTACACGTTCATGTTTAAAAATCATTATAGTTCACAGAGGTAAAGTTGTGAAAAAAATACCAGACTTGAAAACTTCTGTGCAGCCAATAATCCAATAATTCTCCAAACTCTAGACTGTATCCTGTACAGTAGGATTTTCTGTCACCTATTTAGAAAATTAAAATTTTATTAAATGTTAAAAATAAACCGATAAAGCATTGGATGGAAGATACTTTATTTTAAGCGTAATTAGATATTAAGTTTATTTCTCTTTGTAGATTTAGTCAAAGCTCAGTCATCTGATTGAATGAATACATGAATCTCCTTAAAAACTGCACCCATGAAATAAATAGATGAAAGGTGTTAAAATTGGAATATTAATTCCTTATATGAAAAAAATGTTTTACATTCTACCAAATATAATACCATTAAGACAATCTTGTGTTGTAACTATTATCCCAATTGAGATATGATGGGGGCTAATAATTAACATTCTTTATACAGAGCTCAGAACCGACTGAGAAGTAAGAAAAAGCAGTGGAGATGGAGACCAAATGTGAGCTTCATATTGAAACGAGGAGAACATGATTTCCAGGTATCGGTGGGTGGGTTTACTAACCCTGTGCCTTCTTCCTCACAGGAAGGACAGACCGGCCTGCCCCATGGAGGCTGCCCCGTCGGTGTATTCCCTGGAGGAGCAGGAGGGATTCTTTCTGAGGCAGGAAGATTCCAAAGAGGAAGGGAAGAGAGAGGGAGCTGCTGCAATGTTCCCAAACAAGTCAGGTGAGACTCTCCTGTCCCCAGGGTGGGGCGCAGGCAGGTGGAGAGGGGACGGCTGTGCAGGGGGAGGCTGGCTGTTATTCCCATGAAAGGACTGTCCTCCAGGGGGGAGCTCTTTGGAATGGCATGACAGTGGTAAATTCCTGTGTTAAAGAGGGGAAAACAGCCTGAAGCAGAGGACTGGCCCTTGGGCTCCAAGTAGAAGGTGCTAGAAGTGGGAGTGGAGCGAACTGCACAGCCTAACGCAGCTTCACTGCAGCAGAGCCTTGGTTAGTGCAGTCGGTGACTCAGTCTCCCAGAGTTAGAGGACAGCCAGGACCCATGCATGCGAAGCCAGAGCCACATAGATGCATTTGCTGCTCTCTATACATTCACTGCTCTCTATACATTCATTTTGTGGTGGGGCGATGAGCTCATTAGAACCAAGGCATCGCGTAGATTTCTATTCAGTGAGTACGCAGGGGTGCGTAATCTGAGTAACTGTGTGAGACCCGTCAGTCATTAAGAAGCCTACACTGGAGACACAGCCAAGTGCACACATGTGTATGACATGGTATTTAACAGAAACAACACAGAGATTCCGTGACGAGCGTGCTAAGAGTGGAGGCCATTAGAGAGGCCGTGTAAGTGACTGGGTGGTCTGAAGGCGCAGCTCCCTGGGCAGGTCCATGGCTGGTAGGAAGGGACAGAGGAAAGTCGCTCCCAGAGACTCGTACGGTTTACAGAGGGCCACAAGTCCCAGAATGGAACCGGAGCTGCCTTTAGGTCTGCAGGCAGCAGTGGCATGTCCTACTCTGCTCTGGGCGGACAGCCTTAAGAGTCAGTGCCATCCTGTGAGTCTGTAATACTTACCTGTCATTTGTGGGCAGATGGGCAGATGCTGTAAAAAATCTGCTCAACGTTTGCTCGGCCTTAATCACATCTGAAAACATGTGAACAGATGGAGCTTGGGCTACTTTAGAGCCTCCACTGCCTGCCCTGCTGAAACCTGCCCTCCTCACTCCTGAGGGTTAGGGAGGAATGAATGAGATGAATGAGATGACGCACCTGGAAGTGCTGCATGAACCTGACACATTCATTAATTGCAGTTTTGAATCACGGCTCTGCCCTGAGGCTTTCTGTATTCTGCTTTCGTGTCATTCGAGGGCCAACACCGCGCTAGGCACTTACAAAAAAACACCGTATTTCTGGCCTCCCAGGAGAGCCAAGTGAAGAGAGAACAGCTTCAGAGGCTTAGCAAACATTCCAGCCTTGGAGGTTTTCCTGTTAGCATAGTTCCTACCATTACTCCTCCGTGGGGAGCTCCATAAATGTTTCTGGGCTGACTGACATAAGATGGGCGGGTCAGGTAACTGATGGAGCCCCTCATTCATGCAATGCAGCTCGTGGTCTCACGCAGGAAAACTGGCAGAATTGGGTTGTGTGTGTCTCCCATGCCTGCTGTAACCTGCCCTTGTTTATATAGTCGCATGTATAACCTCTAAATTCTGAGCAGGAGCTTGACACTGTGATTGTGATTGCAGTCCAGTAGCAACCTGATGGAGGAGGGGTTTCCTAATGCAGCTCTCCCCACACCTCACGGCAGGGAGGGATGGCACCTTGACGCCTACGCCCACAGCACCAGGGCAGCAGGTGGCAGCCTGTGTGGGTGGGGTGCTGGCTTTGGCTGGGGCTTTCCAACACTACAGACAAAGCAGGCACTGGTGTTCGCCAGGAGCAGAGGGTCAGCGTCTTCCCACAGAAACACTGATGGGCTAGTTCATTAGGGAGCTCGTAAAGCAAAACAACCAGTGAGGACACCGTGGGCTGTGAGATAAAAAGCTCCCTTTTGCGTGCACGCTAAGCTGAAGAGATCAGTGCTACTGCCCATCCCTGCTGACACTGGAGCCTGGCAGGACGAGGCCGGCTGGTGGGTGCTGGCTGAGCCAGGACCCTGGGCTGGGCTGGGCTGGGCTGGGCTGGGCTGGGCTGCTTGGGCCTTGTGACTTGACAATTGATCACAGGTCTGGAGGTGAACGGCAGCACCCTATGCGATCTCTGAGTCAGTTCTGTAGTGTTTCTCCTCCAGGTTGGACAGTGTACAAAAGTAATGTAAAATGCTTGGGCACCAGGCTTTGATGCAGGATGGGCACCAGGATGAAGTAGGTAGACAGAGACCAAAGGACCACATTTTTTAAGACAAGGAGAAAATTGATGACATAGCTTTACTTTACTGAGGAGGGGGCAGAGTGCAGGAGCATTTTTCCCAGCTCCTGCGTGTGCTGGGTGGAGACGCCTAGTTCACTGTCAGTAATGACAGTCTGTATACATGGCATGTCTCTCTATTACATGTATATAATGTTTTTTATGCATGCATATATCACATGTATGTATCTATATATCACAGGCATATATGATATATGCATGTATCTATATATCACAGGTATATATGCTATATTACATGCATGCATCTATATTTACAGGTACGTATGATATATCACATGTGTATCTATATATTGCATGGATGTATCTGCACATTACAGGCATATACATATATTACATGCATATAATATGTATTACAAGTATGTGTCTAGATATTACCCACAGATAATATATGTATCACATGCATGTATCCATCTTCTACATTAGCTCATACATGTGCATTGTATAAAATTTAGGAGACTCAAAATGGGGTAAAGTAAGTTAGTCTCCATGCCCTTCCTTGTCTCCCAGATGCTCACTTTCCCTCCCAGAAGGTGAGTTCAAGTCCAGTTTCTCAGCTCCTCCTTTCTTTGCTCTAACTGCTCAGCCTCCCCAAGCCCAAGGATACCTGCTCAGAAGTTGTTCAGCTTCTGTATTTTGCTGCCTGGTGAAATTTAACTGTACTTATCTGTGTTTCAAAGCCCCAATGCTGTTCCTGTTCTCCTTTACTCTCCTTTCCCAGTTCTCCCACCAGGCTTCCTGTGTCTCCCGCCTGCATGAATGTGTCTCCATTTCCTAGATATCATTCATGTTCTTCCTTTTCTGGTCTCTCTGAGATCTCTGTTTCTTTGAGATTGAGTCCAGGCCCCATTTCTTTTGACAGCTCCACTCCACGGACTTCCTTCTCTGGACTCCTAGGCATCTACGAAAGGGGTGATGTGAGCTCCTGTTTTCAGCATTGCAAAATGATGCCAAAATACATTAAATAACATATTATGTTGCATTATTTTGGCTGTAACTATATAAATCCAAAGAGGTAAAAAGGTTAGCTCCAAGCTCTCAGATTACAATTAGAAATTTGTCTTTCATTAATGATAAAGATTTCAACATACAAAATCTGTCAAAATAAGGTCCCTGGGGGAAGAGAGTGAAACACGGCTGTGATGGGGAGGAGCTGCAAACCACCGATGTGCGCACTTAGTGCTGAGTTATGCCGAGACGGGGTTGAGAGCGCAACTTTGCCATCGGGCAGATGGGTGTGCCCTCACAGCGTAACTTTGGGCAATCCGTGTCATTTCTCAACAATGTAGCAAATCCGCCGTGTAGCAAATGCTGACGTTAAGTGTTGTTGTTGTTGTTGTAGTACTGCTGTGTGTGCTTTGTCCCCTGGGGCAGGCGGAAGAGCTGCTCCTTCCCCCATAGATGTCCACATCCCCATCCCTGGAACCTCTGGGTAGCACCTTCCGTGGCAGAGGGGACTTTGCAATGTGATGGAACCAAGGATCTTAAAAGAGGGAGATTGTCCTTGATTCTCCAGGTGACCCAGGGTCATCCTGAGGGTCCTTATAAGAGGGCAGAGGAAGGCAGAAGGTTCAGGAAAGGGGATGAGAGGCAGTCAGTGTCGGAGTCAGAGTGACTAATGTGAGAAGGAATCAGCCTGCTGTCACAGGCTTTGACGGAGGAAGGGGCGCCAAGCCAAGGAATACAGTGGCCTCTAGAAAGAAGCTGGAGAAGGTGAGAAAATGGACCCTTCCTGGGAGCCTCCAGGAAGGAATGCAGCCCAGCCACACCCTGCTTTTACCAGTGAGACCACTTCAGACTTCTGACCTCTAGAAGACAGATTTGTGTTGTCTTAAGCACTAAGTTAGGGGTGATTTATAAAGCGTCAGAAGACCAGCTTTGTGTAGCGGACAGCATCCAGAATAGTGTTGGATGTCAACATAGATCAATAATTGGGCCTCCTGAGGGTCCCAGCAGAGGCGTAGCAACTTGTGACGCGCTTTTCTAGTGGAGATGGGAAACCGGACTTAGCCACCAGCCCGTTGTCTTCCTGAGCTGGATTTCCTTTAGTGTACACGTTAGAAACATGGGAAATTCCCGACGTCACTGCCAGGTACAGATCCTAACTGTCAAGAAGTCCATGCCCCACCCAGCCAGGTCCCCTCAGTTCCCTGCGTCCCATAGTTACAGCTGTTCCCCAGGCCTCCAGCGTCCCTGCTCTGTATGGACGTGACACACAGCATGTGTCAGGCAGTGAGCCAAGTGCTCTGAAGACATCCCCCTACCTCATCCTCGCAGAATTCCTGTGGTGGTAAAATGAAACCTGCCTTGTTTTTCAAACTTCAGGTCTTGAATCTCAGTGGATCTTGAAATCAGTTTGGTGGGGAGTGACCAGCAGTTGTAGCATGAAGTACACTAGAAAATATCAGGGCGTTGCATGAAGTAAGAGGAAGTAGGCTAATAAAATTCTGGTTTCAGTTACTTATACGCAGTGTGTACTGGTTGTGTGGTAGAACATCAGTCTTACTAGGGGTCATAGGAAAACACACTTCTTATATAAGAGTGGGTTAGATTTAAAACTGTAAAACCCACCAGCCAGGTGGTTGAGTACAGGCTCTAGCAACAGGGCACCCTTTATCTTACCGGCTCTGTGACCTTGGGCTTCTCACTCCCTCTGTTCTTCCCTCGCCTCCCAGGGTCCCATCTCCAAGGGCCTTTTTGAAGACCCAATGGGCCAATCCAGGGAAGCACTCTGAACAGTGCCCCAGTGCAGGGCACTCAGCCCACGTTGCTTCTCCACTGTTACCTGGGTAGGACCTGGCAGGACCCGGGGACCCCATACTGTTTTATCAAGGCCAGCCTTGAGTGTGAGGCATAAGGCAATTTCATGCTCTCAGGTGTCCCCTCCAGACAAACAACAACAACAAAACAAGTCTCCCTCTACAGTAAGCAAGTTATAACCAAGGGGAGGGGAACTTCCTCTTCTCAGGAGGTGGGTCTCTGCTACCAGCGTCTGTTTCTCAAGAGGATACAGGGTAAGTGAGTGTTCTGCTCTGGGTTTCAGGAGGAGGAGAGGACGTGTAGGAGGAAGGACCCGGTGGTTTGACAAAAAACAAGCTGCTGTTGCTCAGGCCTTCACAGTTAGGGTGCCACATGCATACTGCAGCTAAAGGAAGCAGGGTCACAGAAAAATCCTGCAAGTCTCAGGGGTGGTGCTGTCTAAAAGCCTGTGAGGTGACTGGGGTTCTGGTTTTCTTCTTGTGGCTTGTTTCTCTCTTTTGTTTTATCCTGCTATTCCCACCCTCTGCTCCAGCGGTCAACGCAGGCATTTTGTCAATGTCTTAGAAAGAGTTCCAGTCCTACCTGGTGTTAAGTGCTTTGAGTGTTGACTGAAATACACAGCCGGGCTGTGCTGCTCTCATAGGCTCTGAACATTTAAGAATTTAAGAAGTTAATGGCTCTTTTCAGTTAGGTAAGTCTTAATTGATAAAACTATTCTGAGCCTTTAAACCATTGATTTTAATATTCAGTCAATATCCAATTTAAAATAAATTCCATACCACCTCTGATTTGATTGACTATAGAGTGATTTTGTTGCTTTTAAAAAGTAAGGTAGCACTCTAATAAAATAAGTCCATTTAAAATGAAAAGTTTTAATGATAAAAATGTTGGGATTCAAGGATACCCAGTAAATGATATCCTTCTTCTTCTCCTGAACTTGGAGCCAAGTGAGAGGTGAACTCAGCCGTCCGTGGTGCCAGGCAGCCCTGGGCCAACCACACGCACACGGCCTGAGTGCAGCCACGGTGGACATGTCACCTCACCTGAACAGATCACCAGCAGATCCCCCGCACAGCCGCACTGCCAGCCTCTCAGGAGGGGCAGCCCCACCACCTGGGCGAGGGCAGGGGTCTGTTAACTTAGGACCAAGTGTTTACTCCTGAGCGCTCTGGGCGCCTGCATCCTGGCAGGTGCTGGAGTCATGGCCTTGAGAGGAGAGGAGTCCGGGCTCCTTACCTGTGTCTGTGGCGGTCAGGGTGGTAGGAAGGGCATCACAGCCCATGGAGACAATAAAGAAACGCATGCATCCGGTGGACTGACCAGCTCTGAAGAGATTGAGAAAGGGCCTGTGAGCTGTCTCAGTTTCTTGTCCTAATTCAGTTATCAGGTAATTCCTGGGCAAGAGCCTATGAGGGAGGGAGAGCTGCAAGGAATGTTAGTATCATCCCTGTAAGTAAACATGAGGCAAAGGAATGATGGTTTCCTTCCAATAAACAGTCATATTTGCACATAAAAATTCAACAGATATGGGCGACATAATGGTGAAAGCCTTCCCCAGTTCTCAAAGCGTCGCTCTTTCCACCCCCACAAGATAGCCATGTTAACAGTCCGTGTTAATGTCACTAATTACCCAGTCATCGGTGACATAGTTCTTTGTGAACATGAACATACATAGTATGCATATTTAACCATTCAAAATGTTTGGTAGGCATAAACATGGAAAAACAGAGTAGAAAAAGACAAAACAAAGATATTCTTACTAAATACAACTGCTATTTAGTAAATAGTATTCTTTTCTTTGATTTTCATTTTTCTTTCTAATCTCAGGGGAGAAAGAAAACCCAACGTATTTATTTTCTTGCATGTACGGTGATTCTAGGCCTTATTATGTCTTGAGTCTTTTCCTTATGAAGTACCTGCTATTCATCAGACAGCATGTAAGGTACTGGAAGTTGAAAGATTAATAAGTGCTCAATAAAAGTTGACATGTGTGTTGACTGCACTTCCAGGAAAAGTGCTTTCGGGATGCGGGAGCCCCTCCGCACCCTCGCCTGCGCTGTGCTGATTGAGCCCTTTCCTGGCGCCGCCCTCCCCCCACCAGCCCATTAAGTAGCTGGCTCTTCTTGGAGAGGGGAGACTGAGAGCCTGGAGCAGGCCTTGGGCCCCGTCCATCTCCCAGACTCGCACTCTGGCTCTCTTTCCTTCCTCTCCAACAGGAAGGATGGAGAGAAGGTTCCTGTTCACTTGTTTCTGTGTCTGGACGAGGAAGGAGTTATATTGGGAATTACGGCACTGGCTTACCCCTTATAGTCGAATGGTTCCCGTTAGGTGAAAGGTTTTGTATAGAACAAATACAAATGACTCTTTAGCTCGGTTTCAAAATATCCCAACTTTTGACATAAGCTGCTTTGGAAAGGATGAATATAATGAATTTCTTCATAATAGATGATCAAAATAAGATGCACCAAAATCTTGTCCTTTCTCCCCAGTACCCAGTACGGGCTTTGTTCCCAGAGGAAAACTGTCTTCCTTGTGGAAATTAGGGATCATGTAAGGAACTGGAATGACACACCAGGAAGGATTTCCTTAGAGTGGGGCTCAGGGCAGAAGGAATGGGTGTTTGTGCAAACAGTCAACTGCAGGGCCAGGTCACAGTCACGGGTCAGGCGCTGAGTGTGCATTCCTCAGCTTCTCCCAGGAAGAGGCAGGACGGGACAGAGGACAAAGGATTCCAGCACAGGGGTTTGCTGCGCGGGGGCCCTGGGGGTCACAGACCCAACCCTTCCCCGCCTGCCCACCCCCTTCCTGTTCTGTCCTGGAGATTTTCAGCCCCACCCCCACCCCCCCACCTCGCCCCCAACTACGGTGCCTCGTCACACCTTTGCCTCTACTTTCTTATTCTCCCTCACCTCTTGTATGTCCTTCATTCTGGTGCCTCTTCTTCAGTAAGTTTCTTTCTACTCCAATAACTAAATATATCTAAAACAGAGAAATAAATATTGCCCCATTGACTTTGGCATTTAGTGGAAATTATATATGTATATATCTTTACAGGGACAAGATCTCTCATTACTAGTGTTTCGGTTAACCGTCCAGTGCTGTGTGCCTGGGTGGCCATGGAAAATGCCAGGAGCAGAACCAGCCAGTCTCTGAGGCTCCTCCCCACTTCCCTCTGCTGACCTGTGGCCCCAGGGCCTCTTGGTGGGCAGGAGCTCTGGCCCCGCCCATTCTTACTGGAGCAGAAGGTTCTGGGTGATTCACACACGGAGAAGCCTGAGAGTCTGTGTTAGAAGACAGAACTCAGAGAGCTGTCAGTGCGAGTCTCATAACGAGATGCCGGAAGTTAGTCATCAGAGAACAGAGCGGAAGGCTGTCCCGGTGGCCTCAGAGTCAGAGTCACGTGGTGCTATCTCAGACGGTGACTTAGACACGAGGGACAGTGGAAGGTAGAAAAGTACAGGCTGCTGGGGGCCGTGAAGGCTGTGACACTGCTGTCAGCGTGACAAACAGCCATGTTTCCTTAGCCTCCCCGTGGATGTCTGACTGGTTGGAGAAGCTAGACATGCAAAACCAGTTCAGCCCTAACAATGAAGTTCCCAGAAGACTAGACGGTCACCCGGCGCCTCCCGTGATCGGACAGAAAGGAGCTGGCGGGAGTCCAGCATTCTCGGGGTGCCTTGGTGAGTTATGCCTGAGTGCCATGCCACCTGCAAATACAGGCTGCACAGTGAGGGCATCTGGAGATGGAAGCCTGCAGTGACCCAGCCCGTGGAGTGTGCATTCCAGCTGTTAGGAGGGTTTGCCCTCCTGGCACCACGTTTTTCATCACTGGCTTTGATTACTTTGGCCTGGACTTGGAGCCCTCTGCCTCTGAAGAGCCAGCGGAGCGCCTGGCACCGCAGCTCCATAACTAGGTGGCAGCGGTGAGTGCGTCATTGTCCCCCCCATGACCCATCGTGTGCCAAGGGCCACGCCACAGGCCAGTGGGCCTTGTTGCCAAGGAACCTAACTGAAAGTTTGCAGGCCAGAGTCCTTAGGGAAATGCTGTGCTGTTTTTGGAAGGGGACTTGTTCAATATACGGCCTGTAGAGAACACAGAGGGTGCTAGGAATGCAGACAGTTTGCAACAGCCTTCCAGAAGTTTTGTGAAGACCAGACGGCCATGCTCCTTAGAGGAACTTGTGTGTCCCGGGTCACTCGTCCTTTGATCCTCGGTGGTTGGCAATGGGATGAGTATCTGCCTGGCGCCCAGGCTCCTGTCCTTGTCCCCGAGTCACTGCTCACCGTGGCCGCCACCCTCTGGCCCTCAAGAGGTGTCAACATGTCATCCCAACATCAGAACCCAGGCCTAACCGGGGCCACACAGACATCCTGAGCTGACCACAGCGCAGCTAGGACCCCTTGTAGCTCAGGGGCCACAGCAGAGACTTACGACAGGAGGTATGACAAGACTCGCTAGCAAGGCTTGCTGTGCAGGGCAGACCGCACCTGTCCTGCCCTGATGGGACAGGGGACAGAGCACAGGTGGGCAGGTGACTGCCTGTCCATCTCCCACGCTGCAGCCCCTTCCATGTGGCTTGTCCCCACCTCTTCCTGGGAGGAGGAGGGTGTCATGGTTGAATTCAGCTTCTTCACAGCCTCGACCTGGGAGGCTTCTCTGGTTATGTGGGGGGAGCCTCATAAAGATTGTGTCGTGTGAACTGTGGAAATAAATGCTGTCAGAGTTTAGTTCCCCATCTCTGCCATTCTAAAGGGAAAATGTAGGAGGCTATAGATATTTAAAAAGCAAGCAACCAACCAAACATTTAAAATAATAAAAATAAATAAATAAATAAATCCCAAACCTAATTCCAGAATAATCTGTAAGCCAATGCTCTCAATCCTAGAATTTCATAATGAGAGGGATTTCTCAGAACACATGTCAGCCCTGAAGTGTTCGCAGCTGGTGATGGGGGTTGTGGTCCGGGCGGCCTTTCTCCTGTCTGTTTGCTCACACTTTCGTTTATCTCTGCTGTCTCCACTGGGAGCTAAAAGCACACATGCGGGGTGATGTAACTCCTTAATTCATAGGAACAGTGTCAGGGAGGTGTTTTTGGAATTAGTGTCACACATGCCGCCTCCTGGCCATCATTAAGAAAGCACCGAAAACGAAGCTGGAAGACAGAGGACTTGAACTCAGAGCAGTGCCTTCCTGGCCAGTTTTCCCGCCTCAGGGTCAGAACCGCCCGCTCGCCTGCACTTCTCAGTGTGCTCCTGGTCAGCTGCACCTTCACAAGCAGAATCTGCGGGGACACGGGACCTGGGTTTGGAGCAAGAACTGGCCACTCCTTTGTCGCTAACGTTGGAGAACCACTGGCTTAGAGGCCAGAGTTTTCCTGCCCCTAATTAATTATGGAGCCCAGCTGCTGCCTCTGCCCTCCCCCACTACTGTCTCCAGCGTCCAGTACCTTAATGGTGTGTTCTGCATGTCGTCTCAGGCCCATGCTTAACCCGCTCCCTTAGTGTCGGGTGAAAGATGTGAAACCTGTACTCGACACTTCTGTTTAACTCGATGCTCTTCAAACCTCAAAGCACGCTCACATTCCCTATTTCATTGGTTTTCTCAGTTGCTTTTCTATAGATTTCCTTCAAAGACCACAGGACAGTTTTCTGCAATCTTAACATGCATCTCTCATATATATGGGTATACATGAGAGGTGCATGTTAAAATAGAAGAAAATTAAATTCTGTCACATACATTACATGTAATTCAATATATATGAGTATATACATATGACCTCATCCTCCAAATGACCGAATGTCCTAACATATACTCTTTCTAGGGGTTCCTAGTGTACAAGTCCTGTTTGTACAAGGTTTAAATTGGCAGTAAATTTCTCAGAGATACCCTTCCTTACTAATTAAAAACTCCTTAAGGTTTTTTGAATGCTCCCCTGGGATTCCAGACCTTTTTCTTCTGTCTAGATTCAAAGGGTAGATGCAGATTGAAAATCAGACTTGTTCTCATAGAATGATGGTGCTCACTGTGGGGAGAGTTTATTTATAATAATGGAGCCTCTTATAGGTGCTAGCTTGTTGTTAATGCAGCCTGTGAGTGTTATTGAGCGCTTGTGTACAGGGCGCTATTCCAGGGGATACAGAAATCAATAAAACATACAAAAATCACCTGTTCCCCTGGAATTCACTTTTCAGTGGGAGGAGACAGCTGATAAAGTATAATAAGTGCTGCGGAGAAAGATAGTGCAGAGGACGTGGCTGGGGTCGTGGAGGGTTTGGAGTGAGAAACAGGGCACCCTGGCAGATTCGCTAAGAAGGTTATGCTTGAACTAAGATCTGGAAGGGGTGAGAGGCCCTAGGGGAATGATGTTTCGGGGAGAAGGCGTGGTGAGTGCAAAGGTCCTGAGAAAGCAACCCGCGTGGCCTGTGCCAGGTTGGCAAGGGGCCTGGTTACTGGGCCTCAGAGAGGGAGGGAAATGAAACCAGAGGGCGGCTGGGTGCCGGCCTGGTCGGGGACGCAGACCATCGCATGGACTCTGGGCACCGCTGTTGGTGGGCTTTCAGTATGGGAGGGTCCTTGTGAAGAGCGTACGTCTGTGCCACTCTCCCTGCTCCTGGGTCATCTCTCAGATACGTGCCTGCAGCCAAGTACTCGCCTGAGGATCTGCTTTGGGAAAACCAGCTGGGAAGCTGGTCACTCAAAGCATCATTCCAGAGGACATTTGAAAGATAACGGTAATGTTGGGCACATAACGTGATCTGGGAATTACAGCCCACACAGCACCAGCGAGCGGGGCGTGCCTGCACTTAAAGATGTCTGGGACACACTTGTGGAATGAAGGATGCATGGGCCACACTGATCCTCACAGGCGTTTGCGAATTGCAGTTTCATGCCTTAGGAACTCCTTGAGGAGTTGTTCTGATGCCCGTGGTCTGACATCCTGACTACACTGACTTGACAAATAGGAATGGTGAGACAGCTAATGGCAGGTTGATGCCAGAAACTGTTGTTAAGTAGCCAAGTCAGCTATGCTGCTTGACCGTTCTATGGAAGGAAAGGCCTGGATGGCTACTGAAAACTATCAAAGTGGAACCATTCTGTGTCGCTGATAAACCGCAGCAAAACACCCCAAGCCCCCTCAAGGTGATCTCCTTACCCTTCTCTTCAAATATGCCCAGAAAACCTTTTCCTGGTGCGATTACTTTCATGGGACACTTCAATAGAATGTAGGGGTCTTTCTATTGCTGTGCTTCTTTTGTAGAGAAAGGCTTTAAACTAATGAAACGTTACTATAAGTTCGTTAAGAAATACATTTACAGCTTTAATATTTGCATTCCCCTGATGCATACCTAAATGGTTCCTGAAAATGAAACAAGGATGCAGGCAGTTGATTAAGTTTAAACATTATCTCTAAATGAAATGGAGCGTATTTATAGGGAAAGAGTTGATTAATGTTGAACACGAAATCGAGAGGAACTGATGGAAATATTCACCAAGGAGACACACCTGAGATGCTGAGTTCCTAAATGGCATCGCTTTTCTTATCTCTATAATGAAAACTGTCATTGGGAAGATGGCTGAAGGAGATTGTTACAGCTGGACTAAGACTTGAAACACAGCAGAGCATATTCATAAAATTGTTGGTAGGAAGGAAAATGATCTCATTTATGTTTTAGAGAAACTAATAATGTACACGTTACAGACAACAGATCCTGCTCTGTTATTCTAACACTTTAAAGCATATATAAGCACAGACCATTTGTTTTTAAATGGCTGGATATACCATGAAAAGGACGCTTTACAGTAAAGAAAACTGTGGTTTTATATTTATAACTAAAAGAATGGTATAGATGCCCAAATACATAATTTGGTGTATCTTTTTATTTTAGCAAAAGTAAAAGCCCGCCCCCCCCCCGCAACCCTCCCAGCCCTGACCTGTGCTGAGGTTTCTGGTAGACCAGCCCACTATGTCTAGATGTGTTTTCAACACATCATATGCAAGTAATAGGGAGAATATTCTCGTGACATAACTGCTCACAGGAAGAGCTGTCTCCTGTTTCAATAAATCACCTTCAGGAGGCACTTGGGTGTGAACAGATGGGACTCAGGCTTGGTCTGGAAGGGGAAGGCGTGGCCGGGTTGCTGGTGGGAAATGAGAGGATGCCTTAGACACTGGGCAGAGCGGGCGGGCAGGGCTTCACGGAGAGTCTTCTGCTTTCCCGTGGCTTCCTCTCAGGCTAGCTGGGAGGAGCCGGGAGGACTCGGCAGAGGCAGGCTCTGACAGGCTATGACAGCTAGAGGTGAGCAAGAAGTCGGTTCTACCCCTGCGAGGGTCATTGGAAGAACGATGGGGGATACAGTCTTTCTTCATCTACATGGCGGGGTGGGGGGCTGGGGCCAGCTTTTAAATAAAAAGGGGTGATCTCAGAGGGCCAGAGAACATGGAGGCAGATGAACCGGTGACGTACATTAGCCCCAGACAGACATCCTTTCCTTGAGTCACCTCCCCCTCACCAAATGCACAGGATCAGTATTCTGTTAAGATCTTGATCTAATTAAGGCGGGGAAGGTGCCATTAGTGGTGATTATGTTACATGTACATGTGACTGAAACGAGACACTCCTTCCTGGGGCCTCGCCTATCTGATGTAGTGCCACTTGTGCTTCAGAAATGGGCTGGGACAGTGATACAGCATCACACTCACACCCACATTCCCCAGTTGGGCCACGTAGACGCTTGGTTTTTGCAGGCTTGAATTTTAGCTCTTCACACTGGAAAGAAGACATTATGTAGTGAGATGTCTTCCTGAAGGGAACGTGTACATCGGCCCCCCGGACATCTGCACGCAGCTGTGGGGTCAGCTCTCCCACAGTGTCCTGGGGCTACAGTGACCCCGCACACAGCACTGCTTTTCTGTTGCTAAAGCACTCTTCGAAACGTTTCCGTTTTTTCATCTAGAACAGAAATGTGGTGCTGCTGTGTAGACCTGAGTTCAGAACCACATGTGCATGGAGTGGGAACTCCAGGTAAAAGAAAGCAGCCAGAAATGATTTCCCTCTGCCTCAACAGATAAACTCCAACAGCAGTGTAAGGTGAGCCATTAGGGAGCCTCCGATTTCACATGGCTCGGTGACTCAGTAGCTGCCTAGCAGGCCTGGCTTCATTCCCGCCTGCCGAGTCTGTGTCCTGGACCCCTAGGTCCATGGACGCTCGCACCGTAGGCAAGAGAATGCGATTTGAACTGTTTGAAGAGCACAGCTCTTTCCTTCACCCTTCCCATACTCTCCGGAAGGCGCATACTACACATAGCTTTTGGAAATATAAGTGCACGGTCTTTCACAACTTTTGAGACAGAGGTCGTACAAATTTTTCCCCCAAAAGTGCTCTTCAAGAAATAGCCACTGGATGACACTGTGGTGACATGGATGGAAGCAAACTTGTTTCTTAGCTGCGTGAAGGCTGAATGTGAGAGATGGCTTCAGGTCTGCAGCAAACACATCTGTTCAAAAAGCAGATTCAAGTAAGAGAGACTTTTCAATGCACCCCGATCACAGATCTTTGTCCGCAGCTCGGAGGACATGGACTCTTGCAGATGTGTTTTGAGATTCTTATTTGGGTTATTTTTTTTAGTGTATCATTATCCATCCATCTCCCTAAGCACCCCAGTTACAAAACCTCAAATATAGTTTTTGGTTTCTGTTACATGCATTTTTAAGACCTTTCCGTATGTTTTCTTGATTCTCCTCGATGGCGTCCAAACCTGCTTAATATTCCCAGGAGCTGATTTTTGCCCTGTTGG